GCTCATCAGCTCTCGGGGAAAAAGCAAATACAGTTGAGGATACTTGATACTAAACCCTTTCAATTGCTGTGCTCACTCCGTCTGACCAGTAAGCACAGGTCGCGTTCCCCGCTGACGCCATTAGCGACGTGATCTCTGCACCCATCTGCCAGCGGAAGGCAAAGGCTACCCTGACGCCGCAATCCCAGGCTGGGCGAGCAGGGCTGTCCCGCTGTCAGAAAGATGCTGGTCTCAGAGGGCCACATCCCTCGGCTGTCACCCAGCACATTGTCTCCGCAGGAGGATTGCACAAACCACAGAGAAAGAACATCCCTGACCCTGGGCAGCATCCCGGCCCGAGGCACAGCACTGCTGCCTCCCTGCTCTGCATCGAGAGAGGGCTGGTCAATCGAGCATATTTCAGCAGCACTAACAGATACTTCAAAGATATTTAAAGCAAGCAAACAAACAAAAACAAACAGGCTGGGAAACATAAAAGCAGATTGCTTCTATCCCTGTCTAATTGATCCAGGGGTTCAAAGCTTCCCGTGAAGGAGGCAAGCTCAAAACTGCACTGGGGATGCAAAGACCCACATCCAAAGCCACCCAGCCGATCCCTGCTCAGGAGGGAGTGGGATTTCATGCCCACCCAGGCTCAGCTGCCCATTTCACCACCTGAGAATACCACCTGAAGCATGGCTGCCTCTCCCACAGGGATAAGCAGTACCCAGCACAGAGGCTCCTGAACCCCAAACGAGCTGAGCAGCCCTGTGCCTACCCTTTTTCAGCAGAATATGTGCAGAGAGTGGAGGAGGTCAGTCTCGTGGCCGAGCCCTGCCCTGCCCTCAGAGCTTGCTGAGCGGGCAGCAGTGTCTGCGTTACAGCAAACGGCACAGAAACCATGCCAGGAACCAGCTTACAATGCTCTGAAAGCATCTACGTGCCAACGCCTCCTGGAACACCTGCATCCCTCCCCACCTACACCCAGCTGCCAGGAGAGCTGTTGCTCAGTGTTTTCTACCACCACCACTGCCATCAGCAGCTGCCACGCTGCTGAGAGCAAAAGCAAAGCAGCCCAGAGCTGGTTTTCACTTTGGAGAGGCAATAAGGCCAGCCCGGGCTGCTCTCTGCCTCCTGTCCAGCATCTCCACCCCTCTGGCGGTGGGTGAGCCCCAGCCGGTGCCAGCCTCCAGAGGGGAGAGCTGGCGAGGAGGGATTGAAGAGGGGAACCCTGCAAGGCAGCATCCTGCTTAGTGTACACCAGAGACACAAGTTACCCACCCAGGGAGGCACTGCCACCCGGCTCAGCCTAGGAAGGGCTCGGCTCAGCCATTCATCGCTGCCCGCAGAGAGCCAGGCACAGCCGAGTCCTTGCTGAAGCCTCAGCCCAAACCAACTGATCTGGAAAAGGACGTTCAGTGCTCCCAGCCCAGGCCCAGCAGCGGTGCCCAGGGCACAGCTGGCTGTCTGCACCCCAGGACATCTCCCAGCACCAGGCAGCACTGCTGCTTCTTCATGGTTGCCTTCACCCCTACAAATCAACTCCCTTATAGCCCCAGCAAGTTCCCCGATTTCTCTCCAAAGGCAAAGAGCCCACCAATACTCAATTCTTAACTTGCCATGCGTGAAAGAGGACAAGATCATTTTCCAGGGCCACGTTTTCAGTTGTTTGGAGAAACAGAACCTCTGTTTATTTGCTCCATGTTTTAGCTACTCTCTAGCTTCTTTCAGTTTGTTGCTTTAAGCTCTCTGTGTTTGCATTTCTTGACAAGGTCATTGCTTTCACAAGGCTTTTGCAGCACTGCCCCACTTCCCTGGCCTCCAGCTTTGTCTTCTGACGTCCAATTGCTCTCAGAATATTAATTAAAATCGCAAAGAGCTCAGCAAGAGGAGCCGAAACAGCAGAGGAAAACATCAGACACTCCTTCCACCCCCAGGCCCCCGGCAGAGGGCAATGCCCAAGACTTCGAAGCAAAGGTAACCTGTGAAGGACATGGGTCTGATGGTCTGGCTCAGGGTTTCTCAGCCAATGGTACAGATTTTCACAGAACTCAAGTTTGCTCTGAAACTTTATTCTACCTGCTTGTTGAAATTAATGTTTTATAACATGCCTGCCTTATCAGATGATTTTAGCGTCCTTTGAATATGCAGCCATTTTATAACCTTAAGCAGGGAAAATAATCTGAAGGGGGAAAAAAAATTGAAAGCTCCCCTTACCACAAGATTTGTTGACATCAAAAGGCACGGCTGGTTCAGAAGTCAACTTGAATCTCAACTCTCTCACCTGCTTCCTATTACAGAAACAGATGTTCCTCTTGCTGCAAATTGCTGCTATTAATAAGATAAATAATGACGCTTTTCTAATCATTTAATAGATGCACAGGAGGGTACCAGAATTCCTTGCAGCCATTAAATACATCTCCCTTCTTCTCAAGAGCTCAGAGACACCTTGGTGGCCTCTCTTATCCTCCACTGAAGTTCAGAATAAGAGAGCTGAAGCCAGAATAAAAGCTAAGGAGCAATCAAGAGAACCAGGCTCCTCTCCACAGGCTGTCCTGCACACCTACCCTCTCTCCAAATCTCTACACAACAGGGACAGCACCTTTCCCACCCGAGATGTCTGTGTAAAAGCATGCACATGGCTAAGCGCCGCAAGACTCGCACTCCCTTCCTCTGGCAAGATGCTGCTGCACGACCCCAGCCCACGACAGACCAGTGGCAGCTGGTTTTTACCTCCCCAGCGGGTTCCCAGGACCCAGCAAGGGGCAGCATCTCCCATGTCCCACCAAATGGGGAAATCCTACTCTGCAAGGAAACCTGCCGGGGTCCTGTGGTCCCTCCCTCCCCTGCACTGCAGGCCCCAGTCATTTGGTGTTTTTCCTCCAGAGAATGCTTTGTCCTTTTGTTGAGGAGAGCCCCAGCCTTGGGAATGTGAGCAATGGCACCGCAGATTAACGAGGTCACTGCAACCTCAGCGAACACTGGCTCTGACTACGGCTGCTCAGCCCCTCTTCCAACCCTCCAGCGATCACACACACAGACCAGCGTGGCTCTGGCTGTCAGATGAGAGAAAAATCACTGCTGGTTCCAGATGTTAACACAGCACAGGCACATCTGGATCACCGGAGGGCAGCGAGCAGCCCACGGACACACGCTGCTCTGCCTTGCCCTGCCTCACCTCCAGAGTTAAGCCCCGGGACTGACTAGGCTTGATGTGCCTTAAGAAAAAAACCCCAAGCCTTCGGTGCCACATGCTCCGTGAGTCTCACGCTGTGAGATGTGGCCGGTGGGGCTGTGCCACCACCCACGTGGGGGACACAGCCACACACCAGGCTCAGCTCTCCCCAGGCAGGGCTCTGCTTTGACCAAGACCCTCCTGATCCCCAAGGTTCACTGTCCCGCCAGCGGCAGGACACCAGCCCAGCCCATAGCAGGCTGCATTCAAGCCCAGATTCAATGGGGAGTGTGCTATGGGAGCAGAGGCCCCCTTGCTCTATTTTTTTAATTATTCCCAGCTAAGAAAAGGTTGCGCACTCCTGGCTAAGCGACGCAGTCAGAGCCGCAGAGCCCCTTTCCCAGATAAATCCCTCCCGACCCCTTCTGCTGCAGCTCTTCACCCAACGTGCTCACACAAGCAGACAGGTCTCTGCACGCAGCGTGCTCGTGCCCATGTGGTCCTTGGCACTGCCCTGCACCCCTCCGCTCCCCAGCCTGAGGGACCTGGCACCCCATCAGCTCATCTCCTCCACACTTCACTCTGTCCCAGGAGCAGCATCAAGGTTAATTTCCTGTTCCCCTTTCAGAGCAAAATAATTTGCCAAAAGGAAGCGCCTCACAAGGTGCCAGGAAGGAAGAGAAGGCCCAGATTTCTCAGCAATTATGAAGGTGGACCTGAGGTGCAAGAGGAGGCTGGGGCAGCCACTGTGGCCCACATGACCTTTGAGGAAACAGCTCAGGCCCCAGTGGGGCACGGCAGGGCACGCTGGCTCCCTCACCCACACCTCGACTTCCCAGGAAAAGCTTCAGCGCTGACGCAGCAGGCTACACCTTCAAAATCAATAGAGAGAGCACAAACACGAGTAGCCAGCCTTTCTTCCTCCCAGAACACCGTGCCTCAACTCGAGCATCATCTTCTCTACGTCAGTTCTACCACCAGGAAAGAGGACACACCGCCTGAGAAAAACGTGTCTGCAACTAACAAGGTCATATTTAATCAGTCAGCACCTCCCGGGATGCAGTTTCGTCTGTGTGAATTAATAAGTCTGTCCACAGCGACAGAACAACCAGCTGGAAGTGCCCCATGCCAGGCACCCCCAGTGTCTGCAGCGGGCACTTCCAGCACAGGCAGACGGTCCCCGAGCCGGGGATACACGTCAGGCTGGCAGGCTGACAGCATGCCGTGGCGAGAACTCGGCTCTGCTCTCCTGCTCCCTGAGGAGTGGAGGCAGAACGACCCAGGGCCCAGTGAAGTGACTAAAGGCATTTCGTTCACCCTGGACCAAGTTTTGCCACATCTTTGTTTCCAAGTTGGGCATTACTGCAGGTGTTCCAGGGGTGAGGCAGCGACCGGCGTGCTGATGCTCACAACCTGCCTTCAGCCCGTGCTGTAGGCTGCTTCTTGGGTGCTAATGAGAACAGAACAGCCAAAAATCCCTGCCAGTCACCTTCTGAAAGCTTGCTTTATCAGTCAAATCACTTAAAAGGGCCCTGCAGAGCTTTAAAAGAGACAAAAGCTGATTTGCTGCTTGGCACATGGAATTTCATTCCTAATGCAGATTAATTCCATTAACTCATTCCGTGCCCTTTTTGGGGCGGATCCTTCCTTGCCCTTGCAGCTTATGGAAGGCACTGAGCAAACATACCACAGTGTCCTTTCTGGTAAAGACGTTTGATAGCCTCATCCTGCTCTGGCATTCATATTCCCTCCTGTTTTGTCCACTTGCAAACACCTCCTCTCCTCACGCACTACACCCCCGTCTTTCGAGAGGCCCTTCAGTGCCAGTAAAAGCCCAGAAACTCACCTTGTGCTTCATAGCCAGAATAGTGATGAGCTGTACCCATGTCCTCATCCCCGGGGCCCAGGCCAAGGGCTGTCTTGAGCTGGGCCATGTTCACCTGTGCCGTCAGCTCACCGTTCCGGTCCCCGATCTGCAGGGTGAAAACCAACAGGGGTTAGAAGGCAACATGCTTTAAAGAAAACAGCCCCTAGCGAACGGTTTGCCAAGTCCCTTATCAATAAGTAAACATACAGCCAGCCAAAAGAGAACTTGGAGACACCCGGAGAGACCATACAGCCCAGCTTTCAACACCAAAGCAACTCTCCAAATCTCCTCCTCAGCGGTAATTTGGGAGAGGGTCCACGCGTGCTGTGCTGTGCACTGGCTGCGTCTCAAAAGGCAGCTCTGCAGAGTTCAGTACAATGAACCGAGGGGGCACAGCTCACCCACTGCTACAGAACTGGGACAGAGGTAAACGGGCACGTCTGCTCTGTCCTGTAGCCACATATGGCTTGGCAGAGAGCCCTGAAACTCTCAGCCCCCTTCCTCAAGTATCTCCATAGTTACTGAGCATCAGACAGCCACACTACTATCAGCCACGTGGGCAGTGTCACGCTCAGGGCTTGCATGCTCCAAAAGCCCCTCTTTCCTGGCTCAGATCCACACAGCTTTGAGTTGATCCTAGTGATCTCCCACATGAGACTCCAAAAATCTTTTAGAGCCCAAATTTTTTCCAAATTCCCATCTCTCCCTGGCCTGAGGCCAAGGAAGCTGATGTTAGGTGTCCGGGAAGAGATCTGTCCAACAGCTCCTGCTACTTAAGAGGGGAAGTTGTAGGACATGCCGCTGGGCCCACCTCAAAGTTTAACCAGACAAGAAAATTACTGTGCTGCACATCACCAGCGAGCACAGAGAGGTCACTCAGAAACAGCCCCTAATCTTCAGAGGAACAGCAGCCTCTGTCGCAGAGGAAGACCTCAGCTGTTCCCTCAGAGAGACACAACTCCCTACTAAATGCCTTGCAACAGCTCTTTTGTGGTCCTTTGAGATAGACTGCAGTGTGAGCCATCCTAGAACAAAATCATAAATCCACACATTATTTATGACCAAGCCCCAAGCACTAGTAAAGGGAGGCAGATCAAACAGCTTATCATCAGGCTCAAATCCCCTGCCAATTACAAGAGATTTGCTGTTGACATCATCTCCAGAGAAATTACTATGTCCTGGTTAGGTCTCGCAGTCCTTGATGCTCTGTTAAATGCTTCCCTTATTTCCACTCACTCCAGATCCTCTCCAAGGGCCTATTAACATCAGAGGAACACACTGGCAAGACAAGGATCCTAGGCAGGACCTACCACACACACCACAGAAGAGCCCAGTTTTCCACTCTCAGCTCAGATGTCTCAGGTTCCCAGGAGCCCCCTGCCACATGCAGAGAGGAAGGGGCACACCAGAGTGGTGCCTGAGAGCTGGGGCAGCTTCCAAGGTTTTTTAGGTACAACATCCTTTATCCCAGCTGATCCAGAGGAAATTTTTCAGTAACCTCCGATCGCCCTGCAGCAGGTTCTAATGTGGTTACCCTGAGCAGATGTCATTTGGATTCAAATGTCACCACCAGATTTTTGTTTGGGTCGAAGGGGAAAATGGTGATGGGAAGTGAGTTACAAACATCAGTGTGCGAAGGTTTAGCTTCACTAGGTTTCCCCTGGGAAAAAAGCTCGTGCTTGCCACAACAGCGCAAGAAGCTCACTTCGTTCCCAAAGCTAAAATAAAACATCAGCTTTATAACAGAATCACTAGCCACTAGAAGCTAATGCAGGTTCCCCTCACAAATGGACAGTCTCTACACTGCTCTATAATTAATGATGTGGGGGAGTTTATTAGCCACCTGCCATGAGTAACCTACTCCTGCCATGCCCCACGGTCACAGCCAACACCCCAGAATGGGAACGCTGTGAGCCCCCACCCTGCTGGGTTTCCCCTCCACCCCCAGGAGTCACCAGGCCAGCTCCTGCTCCCGTCCTCCCGTCACCGCTCACCCGCACACCGCCAGCTGCCAGCCGGCTCCGCGCAATCAGCCCCACGCTGTGACAGCCCTACCCAGACTAAAGCTGGAAAAGTTAATTTTTCCCAAAATGTACAGGGCCAAAGAACAGTATTTCTTCTGCGTGTCTGATAAGTATAATTAAACACATAATTAAGCTGGTATGTCAGCACTACCCCCAAGATTTAGCCAACCTAATAGGCAGGAGAACACACAAAGCACTTACATACAGTGATTTCAATTAGTCCTTCAAAAGGGCAATTTCTTCATCTGGGGGAGACTAAAGAGGCCACAGCCAATTTCCTCATAATACACTGGAACGAGCAAACAGTGGAATTTTTGCTTTTTGTACTTCTGAGCCACCTAAAAATGCCGTATGTTCTTGCACTAGGAAAGCTGCAGCTAGCTGGGCAAGCACATCTGTGAAAACCAGAGTAGCTCTGCACGTGAAACCCAAACGGTGTGGCAGCGGTACAGGACCAGCTGCAGGCTGTGCTCATCCAGCGTCAGCACTTGATTTCATCAGGCCAGTGCCAGAGTTTACCACCTCACAGCCGGGACCCCCTGCCAGCTCCACTGAGGGGAAATAACTTCTCCGATGTACACCGTGTTGCAGTGCAAGACAGAGCAGGTTCAGAGCACCCAGCCCGTGACTTTCTCCAGGTACTTAGCTTGCTGGCAAATTGGGTCAGACCACAGCTAAAATCACAAGGTCCATCTCAGGATCTCACAGCCCTGTGCTCAAGAAAGCGAGGTCTTACTAACAGACTGGACACCAAAAGGTATCGGAGTTCCTTCACACTGGCTGGTGCACACCACCCTGGCCAGACCAGACACTTAGTCCTCTCGGGTCCTTTCTCACTCAGGAATATCGGTTCAGAGCAACATCCAGCAAATGTAGTAGCTGTAATTAAGGGGAAGGCTGGGAGCCTCCCATTCAAACAATATTTTCCAGCCAAGTTCTGCAATTCCTAAAGACACCACTGAAAAAGCACATAAACAAGGGATTTTTCAGAGCCGTGACAGCAAGAGAAGAACTACATTAATATAACTTATTGGCATAAAAGAAAGTCTTCCTCTCAACAGGCAGGACTGGTTCCCTCTGATCTGAACCAGCTTCTCTTACCTCTTGGGAGATTTCAAGATGTTTCCTTGCGAAGTGCAAAGCTTGTTCATGGCTCCCCAGGGAGACATAGGCATTTCCGAGACTCCAGCAGGCTCTTCCTTCTCCCACCCTGCAAAACAGGAAACTGTCAACCACAGCAATGCTGGGCAAAACCCAGGAGCACAGCAGCCCTTCCAGGGCCTCCGTCTCGAGAGCACCAACCGCCAGAGCTCCTAGCGATGCTTTCACCTACAGAAAGGGTCTACCAAGGAAAAAAAATGCACTGCGCATCTTAAAACGCTTCTTATGCTTAGGTCAGTAAGATCAGGGGATGAGCAACAGCCTCAGAAATGGGCCTGCACCCACAGTGGCAAAAAGCTAAGCAGTGGAGTGAGGACCCAGAATGGTTTGGCTTCATTTGTGAGCGCCAGCCTGAGAGCAGAAGCCAGAGCTCCCCGTCCAGCTTCCACCTCGCACAGCAAGGATTCCTCTCCAGGGACACACATCCAGCCTTTTTATTCCACAACAGCCCAGAGTTATACTACCAAGAATGTGGCAAGGAGAGAACGCTGCAGGCATGCAACGTTCTCCTGCTGAATACCAGCGTGCGTCGCCCAGGAAGCACGCCCAAGCTGAAACTGCGTGCAACAGCCAAGCAAATATTGACCTATTTCCACAAGGTCCCCAGGGCGCTGCTGCTTGTTTTCAGAAGCCAGGGGAAGCGGAGGACTGTGAAACTCGCCCTGGGCAGCCCTCGCCCCCAGCCCTCGAGTGCGGCCGGCCAGAGCCAGACACTCAGGTCTCTCTGGAGCAGGTTTCAGCACCTGTTTGCACAAGCAGGCAGAGACCTACTGCTCATCAGAGCCTGCTCAGCTCCGCCAGCGAGCAGATGTGGGGGGCGATGGGATAAAAAAAGCACATGGGGGCGCAGGGGGAGGTTCGGCATGACTGCAACTCCCTCTTCAGAGGTTTGGGCGGGTTGATCAGCATTGAAGCATTTTTCTTGTCACCCTGTTCAATACCTTCTGCTCACAGGGTGTGTTCCCAGAAATGCAGGAGCCCACAGGCCTGCACCCCCACAGCATGATTCACCCTTGGGTGGGATTATACCTTCTCTGAGCAGATAACTGCCCGGATCGGGCCACAAATCTCCCATTCTGATGTCTCTGCTCCATCTAGTGGAGGACACCCAGTTTCCCAAGAGCCAGCAGCAGTAGCACTGAACACGGTGGCTGCAGTCACTTCAGCTGCAGGATCATGGAGAGCATGCAGGAGAAAAGGAACCCACCACTCCAAAAAATATATATTAATTTTAAAAAGTGGCTAAACTTCCTAAAGAAGGAGGAATGAGAAGCAGAATCTATCATCTCCACACGCTCTATGTAACATCATTTGTTTCTACATAGAAGTTTCCAGCATCCTCTTGGAGCAACAGAACAAAGTGGCATGTGTGCCCGCCCTAACCACACAGCTTCTAAGGCAGATACAATTGTTAGGAACTTGAGGGAGCTTTAGAGGGGCCCTTCTGGGTTAAAAGAGCAGTAGCCCCATGGCAAAGGGGCTCAATACAAAGCATTTTCTTGAAGCCCCTCTCTTATTAGAAATCTCACTCGGCCCACGCAGGCGCACAATCTCCAGGTTTGAATGACATGATAAAGGTGTCAATCATGTCATGTTTTTGATGGATGACTGGATTAAGGCCTGGGTTCTGAGAGATTTCTAAAGATTTTGCAAGAATAGATGTCACTACTGTTTAACCCCAGGAGCAGAGAACAATAGGGAAGGGCAGCGCTCTGAGCCCTCCAGTGCAGACACCGTCTCCCGAGGCAGCGCTTTACCTGTCTCCCAGCTCCTGTGCTATCACCAGGTGTTTTAGGTGGTACTCGATGGCTCTTTCATAATCTTGAAGCAGTGTGTACGTGTTTCCAAGACTGTAGCAAGCCTGGGCTTCTACTGCTTGATCTTTGAGTTGTCTGGAGAGCTGGAGTGTTTTCCTGCATGGAACAGGTGGGAATGAAGAGACCTGGTCACTGCAGGGCACCTCTGCAAGGGGACAGGAAAGTCACAGCTTTGGCACGTGCTGCGTTGGAGTTGATGCCTGTAACAGGCTGCAGGCTGTCAGGTGCCTGTACTAGTCGCCGCTGCTGAGCGCCACACACGCGGTCAGCTTTCAGGTCCCTTGTCGCATCCCCCTGAGCCGACAAATTCACTGCAATAGGTCAACATTTCCGGGGAACACGTGCCCTGAAGCTGCCTTAGCCCCCAGCACTTACTTGTAGTACTCAGCGGAGATGTCAAACCTCCCAAGGAAGATGTGTGCGTTGCCCAGGTTGCTGTAGGCTCGCCGCTCGGCTGCCTTGTCCCCAAACTCCTTCGCAATAGCAAGGCGCTGCAGCAGACACGGATTAGTGAGTACAAGTTGGCCACTGACACGTTCCTCCTACACAGCAACTTTTCTGAGAGATTAATTTCTTGGTTTGCAAAGCTCCCACCCAGCAAGATAGCAGTGGACGTGCCTATCGGGGATACATGAAGCAGGAAATCTCTCCCTCTTTCGCAATTCAGGAACGACCTCTGGAAAAGTGGGAGTAATATTGCAGCCTCCTAACTCCTACTCCAGCCTGGGCAGTACACGTGTCTTTAGCTACAGTGTAAAAGGAGTGATGCACGTACTTAACAGCTGACTAAACAGGAGAATGGAGAGCTGTAGGTCAGGCTGTGAAGGGATGTGGCTGATGCAGGACCGAGGCTGTCCCTGCGCGGTGCTGTGGCACAGAACGAGCGAGCACACGTGTGCCCCCATCTCACCGTCTGCGCTGATCCCAGACCTCTGCCCTCATCCACACCTCAGTCCTGCCTCTCCTCTCACGTCCCCCTGCTCTCCCACCTCTCACCCTCCACTTTGCAGCACCTGCTCCTGGTCCCAAACCCTGCACGGAGTTTTCCAGCCCCTTCTCCCAAAGCACTGCTGGCTGCTGTTCCCCAGCGTTCCCAAAGCAGAAGAGGTGTGACAGGGCTGACTTTCCAAGGTGCTGAGCACCTTCCACCTTCCACTGCAAGGAAACTGTTCTGTACTTGGTATAGAAGCTGAATTGCATTTGAACTGGGGCAGGGGCTGTCACCTCACCCCTTTGTACAGCTTTACAGAAAGTTATTATGTTCTACAAGCAATATTTATTCCTGATCAACAGCTCTTTCAGCAGCTTAATTAAATTCATGGCTTGCTTTTATTAAAATCTAGACTGACAGAAAATTAAGAGCAGAAAAGCCTTGCGAGGCCCAGCTGCAATTTGCCCTTAGATATCGCCTTTGGTTTCCAAGCCAACAGCACCCTTCCCTCAAGCTGCTGATTAGGTGCTGATGGGGACTGGAGCAAGATGTTGCTTAGCCTGAGTTAGTACAACAGGGCCAGACGTGAAGGACCACACACAAGGGAGAGAAACAGCTGGAGGAAAACATCTCCCCGTACTTGGGCCGTGGTGAGAAGAAAGGCAGCTCCCCAGCAGCCAGCCAGCCCCTGCCCCAGGAGGAAGGTGCAGCGGTTTCCTACCTCCTTGTGGAAGGCTATAGCTTCACTGAAGTTGCCAAGCAAGTACTGGGTGTTGCCGAGGTTGCCGTAAGCACGGCCCTGCGCGGCTCTGTCCCCCAGCTCCTTCACCAGGGACAGGTTCCTCCTGGAAGAAATCAGAGCAGTTACATCTGGTGAGACACAGCCAAGCGTGCAGGAGACGCAGTGAAGAAACTTGCATGGTGAAGAAAGGCGAGCTCCCCCCGCCCCAGCTGCCTGTCCTGTGCGCAGTCACCCCTCAGCAGGTGAAAGCCTGGTGATCTACTCCAGCTCCAGCTCCAGGAGCTCCTGCAGATCCAGTGGTGTAAGTCCCTCCTGCTCGCACAAGTCCTCACACGCCAACGGGCTGATAGGATCCCACAATAAATACGAAATGGCCACCTCACTGTACAGGGGAGAGCCAGGAGCACAGGAGAAAGGATTACCTACAGCACAACAGGGACAAACCTGGGAGAGGGGCAAGATCCACAGTCCCATGCCAGGGCTCTGCTCATGGAGCTTCCCCACATTTCTTTACCCTGTTTTTTCCCCCCTTTACATATACAGCACACAGGGGGAAGCGCAGAGCTCCCAGCTGGCACAAATTTACCCACTGGCTATGCTACATGCACCATCCTTTGTAAAAAGGACTGCGAGCTCTATATAGACACTGTCACATCCTCACATATGAGGAGATTGATATAAGATCTTGTCACTCTCTTAACTTAAAAAGGCTACTTTAAAAAGCCTGCATTATTGAAGCAAAACTCTGAAGTACGAGGAGAAAAACGTTAGCCCAAAAGTCTGGTGATGACCTCCCTCTGTGGGACATGAGAGTGATTGTTAAAACTATTTAGGAAAGGATATTACAAGCAAGATAAACTACAGATCCACGAGAAAGACAACCTGGACTTCAAGTGGAAGCCTCTGGCCTTGTGGGAACCACCACACCTTGGGTGAAGGAGTCTGCTGGTGGCCCCAGGGATGGAGACACGCAAGGATCCATTCTCCTCCAGGCCAGCAGAGAGCAGCAGGGGCTACAGGAGCTAACAGTTCAGCTTCCTTAGCTCTGAGAAGGAGCAGACTACTGACCTTAATTGCATGATCAGGCTTCAAACTACAGTGAGTTTTGCCAAGGCAATGCCAGGATGAATTACAGCTCTAATTTTATAGAAGCTTGCAGTCCCTCCCTCACCTTCCTTGAGATTAAATTTGCCATTGTAACTTGGCATCTCAGGGGAATATTCCTAATTCATTACCACATGCAAAATCTCATTCAGTGACCTGGTTTTCAACAATGCTGAGCCCATAGTCTCATTCTTTGCAAAAAAAACCATCTTCCAGAGCTCCCACATCCTCGGTGGCCCAGGAAACAATTTCCCCCTATGAGAAATGCTTCCAACATGACTTGGTAAAAATTGTCATCTTGCACCTCCAGTAGCTATCCTTAGCCTAACGGCTATCAGAGCTCAGCTGACCTGCAGACCCTGAAAGCTGTCAGCAGAACAGGAACAGCACAAATGCAGATTATGATCCGAGTGGGATAAGCTGAACAAAGGTGTGCCAGCACGCATTTCAGCCATCACTGATGCCTGGCTAGCTCTCTGTTCCCTACAGGAGAAAGGGCTGGCCAAGCTTGAATACTTACTCATAATATTCTGAAGCTTTCTGTAGCGTCTCCTTGACTTCTTGAGGCAGGTAGCCTGGATCCTGGGCCATGTTCCAAGATAAGTGCTTTCCTTTTGCATGGTAAACATTTCCTATATTATAGAGTGCTCTGGCTTCACCTACCTAAAGGGAGGAAGAACAGGGAGCAGCAAGGTATTACACTTCACATCCCAGTATGGACCTTTCCATTGCTAGGCAGAGATGGTCAAAGCCAGGAAGCCCACATTTTCCTTTCCCATCTTCACTGTCATGGCAGCTGTTACTGTCAGCAGCATGAGACCTGTGAGGGCAGCCAGAAGGGAGAGCTTTACACTCCACCTCCTTCCACAGCCCACCTTCACCGTATCACATTTGCAGACAGATGATTTTTCAAGGTAGGAAATATTTCCTGTTGGATGCTATGAACTAATTACCTTGTCTCCCTGCTCCTGAGAAATGTCCAAGTGTCTCTGGCAACAAACAACAGCTTCATCAAACTGCCCGAGGATTTTCAATGTATTCCCGAGGTTGCCACTTGCCTTGGCTTCTCCGATGCGGTCCCCAATGGTTCTACAAGATGGCCAGAGGAGGGAGGAGAGGTGTTAAGAGAGGCACAGACTACTATTCACCACCTGTTGGAGGCAGAATTCAAGCTGCAGCAAGCGCTGCGCGGTACGTACACCACATCCAGCAGTTCCTAGCACACACGCCTGGCTGGGGTGCTTCATACAGGCACTCAAATTTTGAAGCAGATCCTTGCTCCCTGTTTTTCTGTCTCATCTGAACCGCTCTAATGACTTCAAGCGTGCTCACAACAAGCACCTGGGGATGGGAGAACTGGACACTGCCCTGCGCTTGCTCCAAGCACCCTCCCCACACCCATACCCCTTTCTCCACCTTCCTGCTCTGAAGGTAGCTGGCCCATTCTTGTTGCCTCTAGAGTTCTCCACGAGACAGTCACCCCATGCCTCAGGGCTACTTTTTGATGCTTATTTCTGAGGCAGATTCCCTCAGGCTGCTGGGTTCAGACCCCACAGACTTGCCTTCGCTCAAGCCCAGACAGGTTGAGCCTGATTAGGACGAAGCACTGCTGACGCGCGTACCTGGCCAGGGTAAGGTCGTGTTTATGGTACTCCAGGGCCTTGGAGTACTCCTTTAGGTAGAAATAGGCATTGCCCAGCTGACTGTAGATGGCACTGAGAGTCTTCAGGTCCTCTGTCCCCACCTGCACCGCTGCTTCGAAGAAGGCTGCCCCAGCCTTGAAGTCCCCAGCCTTGCACAAGCGCTCTCCTTCCAGGGCCAGTTCCAAGCAGGACGCCTCCATTCTGCCAAAAGCAAGACCGTCATTTCTAGAGGAGTTAGACTGCAGTGCACCCATGCTGCTATGCAGTGGTTAAAAAGTACTTTTTACATCTTTAATTATTCACTGCACCAGAAAAAAAACTACCAAAGAAAAAAACAAACCCTGGAGGGAGCCACCCTCCAGGCAGCAGCTGCCTCTCTGCGTTCAGCTCAAGCACCAAGGCCCCAGCCCCAGGTCTAACACAGTTTGGGCAATAACAACTCGGGGACATGCAGCTAGTGCACCTCAGAGGTGTGGACACCGGATTGCAGTGGGCATGGTGGGCACTCAGCACCTCCGAGAAACCCGCCTCCCAAGCGTGAGACACAGGAGCATACAGATTTACAGACTGCACCTACATGTGGCCAAGGGCAGCCCCTGGGTTCCCAGTGGGAACCGGGACAAGAGACTGGGGGCTCCTGGCTCTCAAGACACACTCATACCACAAGAGTAACATGGCATCTGTTTTTCTTCAGGTGATGCAGAGTGCAGAAGCCACGTACCCAGGCTACTCATGCCTGCACCGCTTTCCCCTGGGTAACAGAGGCAGTAGCCAACTTGTAACACATTTTTATTGGATACCAGAGAAAACCCTGGACTCTGCAGAATTTCTTGGCTCTGCAGCTTCCAGTGCTCCATGTCTGCTTTTCATTAACTCTCCTGCTGTCACTTTTTCCACAGGCGCTCTGCACATTAGCCTCCGGGCTAGCTTTCCTCTCTTGCATTTCTCAACACCTTTGGCAATGGCCAATGCTGTGCTGTCAGTGTGAGTGCTCTGCGAGCCAGCAGAGAGGAGCAAGACCAGCAATACTGCTTCAAGGGAAAGGAAACGGGCTCCTTGGAGTGCTCCAAGTCCTCTAAACTACAGCTGCTAGACCATGCGTATCCAAAGTTCTCAGAAGGGACAGCGCACGTTGGAAAGCTTACATTTGGAAATATCTTGCCAGCTGCAAAGTCAGCCCTTCCGTGAGGTGGATGGACACAGCATGCTCCCGCTCCTCCATTCAGATACTTCTCTTTGCTCTTTTTGGCTTCTTCATTTCTGCTCAATGCGTTTTTAAAAGTCAAAACTATCTAGGTCAGAGGTGGCTATCTGCTCACAAAAACCACAGCTCACTTGTATAGAGTCAGAAAAGCAAGGGTCAGAAAAAAGATAGTAAGTGCCCAAAGGTGTTTTCTACTTGTTCCCAGGCAAAGAGCACTTGCAGGACGTTTGACTGTGGTAGCCACGCCAAGAGAACAACTTTCTCATCACCACTGCAACAGCAGCAGCCCAGCTGACACCTCCAGGAGCAGTTTCCCACCGAGCCCCAGAAGATGCTCCCCCCAAAGCCACCTTACCGTGAGCCCAGCCCCTGCAGCCAGGGACCAAGACTGGGGTGTGCTGGCCAAACCAGGGCACTCTGTGCTGCTCTGGCCTCTCTCCCTGAGGGCACAACCTGCCTCCGCGCACCCACACACCTCCCGGGCACAACGACTTCAGGGCAGAGATCCCCCCACTCCGGGTCTGCGCTCCAGCACGCTCTGCCCAAGTCTGCACCCAGCACTCGCTGCCTCCTGCTGCACAGGGGCACAGGGAGATGCACGTATGAAATATCAATCCTGATACATTTTTCCTACAAACAGGCAGAATGGTGTTTTCTCAGCTGCCAGGAAACAAAGCCAATTCTTTTGAGTAGTGCATAAACTGTGTAAAATCCAACCCCATATCCCTGGCAATCTCCCCGCTGAGTTGGCTCTGTATGGCTCCAAACACCCAACACTTGGCAGCCCGACAGCATCCTCCAAAGCAGGACAACCCACAAGGACTGTCCAAACAAAAAAAAAAAAACAGGTGAAAGAGCTGGTTTCAGACTCTCCCTCCGAACACACCTGTGACCTCCCCTGTCTCACTGTTCATTCGTCCCCAAAACCACCAAGTAGCAAGAGGGAGAAAGGGACTGTGAAGCACCTCATTTGAGCTCCCACCTTAAACTCCCACACAAATATTTGGTTTCAAGCTCACTGCAGAGCCTACATGTGAGCAGCTATTTTACTTGTGCAAGAAAGCTGCTTGCAGTGCCAGTGCAGCATCAGTCCCTGCCTCAACTTCTGCTTGATAGGGGAAATAAAAATATTAAGACTGTTAATACTAGAAATGTTTTAACTTTTATCTACTGATCCTCTTGCTAGACCACAGGAAAATTAGTGAGAATGAGCTTCTGCTGCAGGATGTTGAATTCGAGGGACACATTGTGGGATGATACCAAACTCCCATCAGCTGGTATGAAATCTGTGCCGCGGGGCCTGACACACTCAAACACACTTGCACACTCTTGCACTCTCCGGGTGCTCCCGCAGTAACTCCGCAGGCCCAAAGCAGTGACATGACCCTCCAGTGCACACAGCCTTTCATTAAAATCTGTTTGTCCTTGACCAGGCTGCTTTGCAGAGTATCTGACTTATCTAATTAACATCACTGCTCAGTTTGGGACCTAAGCAAACAAGGGGAAGAGAGAGGAGGCTTTTTCTCCACCTTGTGCTCTGCCAAGCCTTTGCTGTCATGTAAAGGGACAAGAGTCAAGGATAGCAATTATTATTAGAAACATAACCCACTTCTAAAACCCACCTGCCCTTCCCACATCCTTGGGGCCCCACAGCCAGAGCTAGTTCTGAGAAGCAACTTCACATGCAGTTCAGTCACTGCCGGCTTAAAAGCACTCAGACACGCAACACAAGAACCAACTGAAGGTCAATGAACAACTCAAGCACACTAAAAGACGCCACCTACAACAACTTCCAATAGCTCAACTGTCCCTAAGACGACTACAAGGGCAATTTAGGCAGAAGATAGGAATCCGCTGTTCAAGGGAGCCAACCTGAAGCACCTCGACAGACCGGCAAAGGGAAGGGAAAACAGTCAATAAGGACAGACTCAAGTTACAGCCCCAACACCTCCCACAGCACGTGCCTGAGCCCTCCCCTACCTCTTCTTCTTCAGGTTGCGCATTTTCTGAACATAAACCCAGAGTTCCAAGCCCACTGGCAGAAGGAAGCAGCGGGGCTGAGGTCTACTTGGAACAATTTTGCAGACAGGTCTCTCTGTTAAGTTCACAGGCAGGACCCAGGGTTTTGAAGATGCTGATGGCATCTTCATGTCCATACAACATGCGCTGCTCTCCAGTTTTCAGCTGTTTTCCAGTCTTCACTCCATCTGCGTGGGCAACATCACTAAGTTGCTGGAATCTTGAACTGTGCTTATCTGGGACACTTCTTTTTCTCTCTGTACACTGCCCTTGAAAGGGAAGGGGAAAGGAGCATTGCTTTTGTTTTCAGACCTACAGAAAGTAACGTCTTCTTTCCTCTAACAAATACAGTATCCTTCATCCGCTGTTGGCTTCAGGCAGCAGATGGGCGAGTTCACAGCTGAAATCCCAGAACAAGGGAACATCTTAATTCACTCACATATTTTCAGTGCTGCCCAAAGGAAAAGAGCCCTAGGAGAGTCCACAAGATGATCAAAGGCAAGCAGCTCCCTCCTTTCTGAATTGGTGTCTTCCCAAAGCACTTTGTCTCTATGGTCACATCAGTTATTTCTGTTGGCGCCTCTTTGCTCCAAGAGCAGAAGGACTTCTGCTGCTACAAACCTCTCCTTGTCAGGTGAGGAGCTCAGGGTTCCTCCAAAAGAGGGTCAACCTTTGGGCAGAAGCACTCATAGCTTGACAGACTCCAAAGAGACCTCATCCATCTGCCGCCCGGGAAGCTTTGCAAGTTCCAGAAATGATCTGAGCTGTTCTCAGACTGGGGAAAAGCAGGAGATGGCAGATCCCACAGAGCACATCCCTGCCCATTTAAATGGGCCCCAAACCATCCCCATCTGTGCAGGCAAAGCCTTCTACCCCTCAGCCCCCGAGTATTAAGTTTCTTCTCTGCTGACACACAGGCCTGTACCACCTCAGCAAGCACCTACTATTCATATCTTAATACCAGAAAAGAAGATTCAGTCCTTCCTGAGCCAGCAAATTACTGCTGACAAGCTGAAGGTGCTGGGCTTGGCCATATGGTGTGGTTCAGAAGAGAGATACTGCAGAACACGAGCTGCTTTTCCACAGCTAAGACGCTGGGGCTTGTTGATGCAATTCTCCCACCACACTCAACCTTTCAGCTAACAGCACAGCATGTCCCTGACTGCGGGTTTGAACAAAGATATGGGGAGTGGGGGAAGCTCACTTGAAGTGGTCCCTTAAGCCTCGCCCTAAATCAGTGCAAACCGCTCATACAGACTTGTGCATTCCTCCAGATAAGCAGGATTTCCAAGTATTCAGAAGTCACATCCCAGACTCCAGGCCCACCACAAGCAGCCAGGAAGGTCTGACAAACTTAAGTCCCAGACCAAAGCAAGACTATACCATGTATAGCAAAATGTTTTCTTCTGAATGCGTGGAGATGACATGTCTGTGTCAAGTCTGGCTGGATAAGAACAAAGTTTTGAAGACACCAGTTGGGATCTAGAAATCAGAACAGTGCCGGAGTGTACAGCAGTGAGTCCCAGCATCAGTTCCCAACTGGAGCATTAAGCAAGTCCTGCAGCTTCTCCACACCTTGGGTTGCACACACATCTGTAAAACAGCAATGAAGGTGGCTCCCAGAGCACTTTGAGCCCTCACTACAAAAAAGGACACAGAGTTACTCAAACATGTCCAGAGAAGGGCTACAAAGCAGGTCAAGGGTCTGGAACACATGTGCTATGAGGAGAGGCTGAGGGAACTGGGATTGTTTAGTCTGGAGAAGAGGAGGCTGAGGGGAGACCTCATCACCCTTTCCAACTCCCTGAAAGGAAGCTGCGGAGAGCTGAGTCTGAGCCTCTTTAGCCTAGTAGAAAGTGACGGGACAAGAGGGAATGGCCTCAAGTTGCGCCAGGGAAAGTTCAGACTAGATATTAGGAAGCATTTCTTCACAGAACGGGTTGTTGGGCATTGGAATGGGCTGCCCAGGGAGGTGGTGGGGTCCCCATCCCTGGAGGTGTTCAAGAGTAGGGTGGATTGGGAGCTTAAGGATACGCTGTAGGTGGGACCTGTGCTAGGGGAACGGCTGGACTGGATGATCTCCAGGGTCCTTTCCAACCTAGAAGATTCTGTGATTCTGAGATCCTTTTGCAAAAGGTACTTGGAAAAGGGCAAACACAACAGAAAGAACAAGTTTTTCAAAATCAGTAAGAGGCCCAATATAAACCCAGTGTTTGGCCACAAATGAGTTAGACAATCTGCACAGCATTCTGCCAGAGGAGTGAGTGGCACAGCGCTGGCAGATCACTTGGCCCCCATCAATGCGACAGCTGCGATATTTCAAACCAGAGAATGGATGTTGCTTCTGACACTCATATGAGGCAGAACAGGGTGACCTTCCACCATGCAGTGACGGGGATGGGGAAGTCTTTTTCCAATACAGCACAGGGCAGGGCCACCCTCCCTCCTCCTCAACTTCTTCTTTAAAGGATAAATGATCTGAAGGCAGAAAGAGCCGAAAAGAACAAGAAGAGCAGATATTGCCTTTAACAACATTTCCCAGGGTCATTCATCACTGTCGGACAGCAGCTAATGATGATCTGTATCACAGATTGCCTTTTGGCTGCCTTGCCTTAAGAGCAAAAATGTTCCTTTATGAAAGGTACGCAGGCAAAATGTGAGGACTCTTACACATCAAACACTTTCAAGCAACACAGCAATACGGAGAAGGCAGCGATGGCCCTGGGAACTGGGGATGCTGACAACACTGCCAAGTAAGAAACAAAGCAAACTGCACAAGGTGTAATCAGTGCCATTAACCATAATCACCATGACTGCTGTCAAAACAGCACTATAATTAGGACCTGGGTGATGATGTAGGTCCCCAAAGGGGGAACACTACTCATAATGCGTGTTCGGAAGCTTGGAGAGACTGTCACACCTCCCAACACCACGCTCTCCCCCAAATCTTTGCTCCACCCTCGCCAGATATTCCAAGAAAATACGCTGCATGGACATCATCACACTTGTCCTCCCGCTGCTAGGCTGGAAAACAACAGTACAGGCTGCACTTTAGCCAAGAGCTATTCTGCAGGCTCACGGGCTACGCGCTGACCTGAAGCTCAGGGCTGCCGCAGCTCCTGCAGCCCAGGAGATACGGGCACAGAAGGCAGAGTAGGACACGGTGACATCCCACCTCTCAGGTCTGCACCTCGGCCCCGTGTCTGCTCCAGGTGGGCAGAAAATGGAGAGACCATACAGTGTCCAGCAGTTAAACTTGTCTTACTCCAAACCCACCTTTCACACAGGCAGGGCTGCCTTGTTTGGACTGTTTTGCTCACAGCACTTACCCTGCTGACAACAAATCCATCAAGCTGCACAGAAAATAATCATGTCACAAGACAGAGCTAGGAGACAGTTGTCTGCTGCCTTAAAATACTGTAAATCTCGCAGGGCAAGAGACCCTCTTCCTGCCTTCAAGGTGAAACTGCCTTAAAACAAAACAAAAAAAAAGAAAAATGTATTTATAGCTATTTGATTCATATTAGTGGGGGCGATTGCAAAATTCATTCCCAATCAGAGCTGCTATAGTTTTAAAGTCAGGAATAAAACCCAAGCTTTTAGATAGGAAGTAAAGCAGAAAAAAAAAAAACCCACCAAAAAAACCCAACCATAGTAAAAAAAAAAATAATTCACATCTATTGATATGAATTAATGAAGCAATAGATTTTAGCATCTTACTTGCAATCTGATTGAATTTTATACAAAAATAAATGTGATTTCAGAGCACTGATGACAGGGGCAATTAAACATTTTTTTCCCAATCAAAAAGGGATCAAGTTTATCAGGTGCTCAGTGTAAATGTATATTCTCTGGCTTAACTAACTAAATATACATTTAAATAATTAACTGGCAGCACATCCTTAAAGAAAGTAATCAAGCTAGGAATTATTCCCCTTTAGTAATTTCTTCTCCCAGGCGTTGCAGAGCTCCTGTACGTGAAAAGCAGCCGATGGCTCGGATCCACCAGCTAACGCAGCCAGGTGGGAGCTGCTCCAGCTCCCCAGGGACTGTTCCCCCTCGCTGCACGGGGCCACGACGGAGGGAGCTCCCATCCCACACCAACAGCTCACGAAGCTTCTCCAGTGCCCAGGTCCACACCGCGTATCACAAAGGGTCTATTTTCCAGGGCTTGAGAAAAAGCTATCCCAGCTCCTCCTGATGCACAGCCCGGATTTACTCGTGGTGACTGATACCTGTTGAGCCTTGGCCCAGCACTGCGAGCTGGATTAGACCGCTCTTGTCTGCCTGGGGGACTCTCCCAACGTGTTCCAGGCAGTTTCTCTCTGGTTACTCTGCCCCAGGCAGGGTCATTGCTCCTCGTCAGGCAAGGCTGGGGCTCACGTCATTGTACCACCAGCACACGCGCAGCTGCCTGCCTCTCACCTGCTCCCAAATGATGAGCTTCCACCTCTGAGAAGAAAATCTTATTACTAGTACACGTGCTTACAACTTCCTACCATTACATATCATCCCCTTGCCGTGACACCAGACCCATCAGTCATTCAGTTCCTCCTACTCGATACTCATCCTCCCCTGCACGGCTCCTACCTCCGGATCACCAACACACCCATTTAGCAACCTGCTCTGTTTTGCAGGGAGGGCACTAATGAAAATACTCAATGAGCTCACTCCTGAGACAAGTTCTTGTGCAACGTGGCCAGCGTTGCCTCTCCACCCCGCCAACAGCTCTCCTTGCAGCGCGGCCCCTCGCTTCACACCCACGTCACAACCCAAGCACTAATCCCCTCCTGACAAGCCGTTTCCCCACAAGGCACCGTATCAAACGCAGGCTGGAAGGGAAGGGTGACAAACAAATCAAGATATACACGAAATCCGCCTGGCTCAGGCTATTTTTGGTAGTTGGAAACCAGCACACGGAAGCTGGTTTCCCTCCAGTCAATGGAGGGCAGAACCTCAGGGGCCCCTTGGCCTACATGTCACCTTATTAGTGAGGGGAAGAAAACAAAACCTCTTATTTTGTTTGGAGAGGAAAGGTCAAAGATGAAACGACGAGTGCTGCACCCAGTCCTTCTCAGCTTCTGCATTAGTTTCACGTGCCTGGGCCAGTTTCCTTCACATCTGACAACATGAGGTGCTGCAGAGGCAGCTCTGTTCCACCAGCACATCTGGAGGGGAGAAGGTTTCCACTCCACACATTTTCACTGGTAGTATTGTAGTGAGTCCTTTCAGTGACCCCTGAACTGAAAATAATTAAATTATATACATATATATATACACACACACACACACACACTTACCGCTGCTTCAGAAGCGTTTGCTCAAGCCAGAGCTCCCGGGAGTACCAAGATGAAGCAGTTTTCACGGCAGTCTTTGATAAGGGCATAAAACAGAGAATTCAGTGGGGAAAACTACAGGGAATTCTGGAAGCCGCTGGGTCTGTGTGCTGGCTCCAGATTTCCTCTTCCACTCACTCACTGATGGTAGCATCAGTGCTCAACAGTAGTCATTTCAGTTAATTGCTATCTACCATTAGCTGCAGAGTACTTACAAGGGATTCAATTCCACTGCATATTTGCTAATAAATACCAAATGACAGTGAGGAAGACAGCTGTATTTAGTTGCATTTACCCTCTTATTAGCAGAGCTGAATAAGACCCCGTTTCAATTCATAATGGCTCCAACAAGCTGCGTCACTGTCAGAGAAATTCAAATTCAAACTCCCCATTGCCTGCTTGAAAGCAAAAGTCATCCAGCACTCCACTGCTTTGACAACTCCCCTGAGGCTGCACACAACTCCCCCATTTGACCAAGGGCCACGCAGAACAACTACCTCTATGGCTCTGATCCATGAGGACAGTGAGAACTGAAGGCAGATGGGAGTTATTTGCTCATTTAAGTGGCGTTTTTGGA